AAGGTTTTTTGGATTACAGCTGCCAGCTGCTCTTTGAACCAGAATTGTGACTCAAAGATGACTTCCATGTTGTCACACATATCACACATCAGTCACACATAGAGAAGTGCAATCCTATCAATCCTATCTTGATACCTCCTCTTTCTGGAGTCATAATATGTGCATTTTGATACTATTATTGATGATGATTTGATTTAGACACCGCCACCTCTGTGTGGCTCTTGAATAAAAACAAATGACAGTATACAATCCTAATTTTTAAAAAAATCAACAATATGACAAATCTGGCCAACAGCAACTAAGATATACCCTTCAAGGAATTCCAACTACCTTGCTTAAAGCCTGGGAAAAGAGCCAGGTCTTTAAGGCTCTCTGGAATGGCTCTAGGGTGGGAGCCTCCCAGTTCTTGAGGGTAACTCAGAAGTCAGTTACCTGATAGAGTAGACATGCTTCTTCAATCTGATAATGACACTGTTAGATTGAAGGAAGGAATTTGCAACCCTGTTGGATCATAGTGATACCACAANCACCTCCCCTTGGTAGCCCCATCCCTAGTCCAATCTGCAAATCCCTCAGGTGTCATGTGAGTTCCATCTTCAAAAAGCATCATCAGGTTGGTATGCAGGACAGTTGGCCTTGGCGGGCCCAATCACTATTTCCAGCATGCGCAATAGATGGTGAGAACAAAACTCCCTTTTCACAATCTCTCCTGTACTTAAAACTTCCCTTCCCAAATACCATTCCTCCCCCTCCCCATTTCAATGGCAGCCGAAAAGCAAGTAGAGAAATAGAGGCTGACATCTACACATATCTGGGTATTTTACAGATGGACAACATCAAGCATGGACGAATTAAAAATGTGATTAGTAAAGAATATATCTAAAGAGTGTGAAAAGTGCTGAAGACAAATTGAATGGTGGAGACACCATCAAAGCCATTAATACCTGTACCATATATGTGATATAATTTATTGATTGAACTGGAATAACTGGAATTATTAATGAGACACAAGCGGAATATGGTAGTTTGCACCAAAAAATTAAAAATCTAGTTAGCATTTACTATGCATTACATCCCCTTAGTATAATTGATAGATTATGTCTGCCCTGCAGAAATGGAGATAAAGTTTGATTTCAAGTCAAACTGTAAACAAAGAAAAGTATGAATTGCTGATTATGTAAAACGTAGCCAAGAACAAAAATTGATGCAAGTTAAACATTGAAAATTACTGAATGTTTAAGAAACAAAACATGAATATTGCAATAATGTAATAAAAACAGGAACAAAATGCTAGCAAAAAAAGCATTGCATGGACAATTTCTACAAAAGATCAAAGGGAAATTGGGTAAAGATAAAAACCTGTCAGTGGCTTACAACTGGAATATTAAGAAAGAAAGAAACTGAAAGCTTGATTTTGGCTGCTCTAGAACAAGTTATTTGAAATAATGCTGTTTAATGCTATCAAATGATTCAAAATGAAGATTATGCAAAGAAGCAGTAGTAACAGAGCTTTTTCTCAGCTCATCCAGGAAGATTGCACAAATTGTTTATAAATAACAATATAACACAGTCACCACAATGATTCATCGGAACAGCTGTGAAAATTATGTGCTATAATGAGAAACTGAGAGTTGAAAAAATAGTTGCAAAAGAGCAGGTTAATATGTTACGGGATTTCCAAATACAGGACTGATAAAGTCTTGCGCACCAGATTTAAGTCTGTTTGAAAAGAAGAAAGTTTGAATAATTGAAGTGGCATTACCAAGGGATACTAGAAGAAGAAAAAATAGAAAATATCACATAGTATCAACAACTAAAAAGCAGAATTAAAAGGTTATGGCATAAACCAGCTGTGGTGGTCCCAATGGTTATTGACACATTGAGTATCATACTAAAAATTGATAGAAATTGTGTGCATTAACAGAATTTCCATTTGCCAATTACAAAATGCCACAGAACCTGGATCTGCACATATACTAACGAATGCATTCGGATATCATAGGTTCTTGGGAAAAATTTGATGCATATGAAGGCCAACACCAACTAGAGAACTGATCTCATATTGTTGTATATATAATAATAATCTGTGGCAAAAGAAAGCAAAGATGAGTGCAATTCCAAAACATCTAGAGTACCACTTGATCACCATAGGCCTTGACACCAGTCAATTGCAAAAGTCAGCTTTACTTGGGACTGCTTAATCTTGTGTTGATACCTTTAACACCATTAAATAATAGCTTCCTATCTTGGATCCTTGCAAGAGACTTGATGAATGGATAAAATGCCAAATCCAGTCTAACATCTGGCTGATTTACCAATCCTAATCTGTTTATCACAGATTCTTGGGAAGGATTCTATAGGTGGATAAAAATGCCAAATCCAGCCTAAACATCTGGCTGACTGCACAACCAATCATAATCTTCACTTATTTAATTATCTTTTCCTCTTCTGAAATGCCACAAGATGAGACAGGTACTAATCAACTTATGACCACAATTGGAACCAAAATTTTAGTTGCTAAGCGATGTGTTAAGTGAGTTATCATATGGACCTTGTTTTACAACCATTTTTTTCCACAGTTGTTTAGTGAATCTCATGACTATTAAGCAAATCATATGGTCATAAATCACTTTTTGCGACGCCATGGTGACTTTGAATGATTGTTAAATGAATGTCGATATATTGAGGACTAATTGTACCCAGATTTGTTACTTGTGCTCAGATCCTGTACCGTATCAAACTCAATTTCATTGAGAGCTGCATCAGGGTTGTGTTTGACCTTGGGGGGGCAAGTGGGCATGGCTGGGGTGGGCCTGGCCAGCTCAACATCCTGCAGCCCTCTGCCAGTGAAAATGAAGTCTGTGAGGGCCGACAGAGGCNCCTTGAAATACTGTATAAAATAATATGTATTTTTATTCATAGCACACTAGTCTGAAATTAAATGAGTCTAAGGGAGTGCCTATTCTGATGAAAGGAAATCTATTTAAGTAAAACAATAAGGAAAATAACATTGCTAAATAGTTTTTGATGTTCAATTTGCAAAAGAAAAACTTAGACACAACCCAATCCTGCCCTTAATAATCTTTGTCTAGTTTCCTTCCATTCTTCCTACTTTTTCATTTCTAAAAACAGAATGGATTAGGTTTCTTACTATAGCTTTATCCAAGCTGATGCCCTTAGTTTTATGGAATTAAATCCCAGACCTTATTGCTTGATTGGTTAGTTGTTACTAGGATTCTATCCAACTGCGGGGGTTGTAAAAAATCATTCTACAGACCTGTAGCTTTTCTCTCCTGATATCAGGGCTTTGACATTAGGAGAACAAGACAAAGGGGCAAACATGATGAAGAAGGAACTGAAAACTTGTTCAGAAACCTTGTTGTAGTTGAATGTTTGAGGGTTCAAACTGAGAAAAGAATGGACCGTGCTCGTGGCTTTGTCCTTCCATTCCATATAATCAGGTGGAGATCTGAAGGGGAGTTAAATTTCTAATATTGAATATTTGTAAAGTCCTCCATGTAGAACTTGAGATCTTTTTCATTAGGATCCTTGATCACAAAAAGAGACATAGTCTCAAAGTAATGTGAGTGCATGTCCCTTCAGACCTCCATGTGAATATATGTGAGACTTCATTCTCTACCCAGTTGGATCTCTCCATCTAAACAAAATTGGATTCCTCTCTGCTGTAGTTCCAACTGTGGGGAAAATTTAGAAGACTCGTTTCTTTCCCGTAAGTTGGAAATACAACAGCTCTGGCAATAAAAGGGGGAAAATGTATTCGACTTATTTTCTTAGCTGCTGGTCTGATGCTAGGGCATTATTGGAAGCTTTGACAGCAGGATACTCCAACTGGAGAGGCAAGAGTGCCTACTACCATTGGGAACCTAAACATGGCTTAGTGTAGTAATGGGGAGTGGGTAGAAACATGTTGTGTTAGACTTACTAGTCTTAGAATTGTTTTTCATTTTGCTTAGTTTTTGAGTGTGCAGATTTTTAACAAAAATAGCTTTCCAGACTTTTGAAACTACTTTGAAGGTATTATTTGGACTAGGAAATTTACAAGAGCAGCTTGTTTTTGTCTTCCCCACGATTTAACTAAATGGCAACATTAATTTCAATAAGCAAATGAGATTGCTTGGGGTTGATCTGTGGTAACTCTGTGTTATTTGATTCATGGATTGATTCAAAAATGCTTACATAGCCACACATATTGTAACAACAACCCTGGACAGCTCTCAAAACATCAATCACCCCCAAATAATCAGAATTTTTAAAAAAATCTATAAAATCTCTATGAAAACTCATGACACTCCATGGTAGCATTCCCTTACATCCACATACCATTTTAGTTGATTCCAGCCTCATCCTACCACAATTATTGTGTTATAACTAAATTATTTTTAAAAAATTGATTTATCATAATTTCTGTTTGATAAAACAGTTTGGCTTTCCACAACTCAATGCTTCCAAGGAGACCTCCTGGGAAATGTTTTACAGTTAATTCCTGCTTTTTTATCAGCATTATTAATAATTTAAAGTTATTATAGATGTGGACCTGGGCTAATTATGGTTAAGGCTACTTTTAGTATCATTTTCTCTACTTCACAGTGTACTAACTTGAGTTAACTTCCAGTGAAAAAGGCCACGGAGCATTAAGTCTGGTTATGAAAATATTTGCATCCCCAAGACGGAATTCTGTTTGCAAATCACAATTGATACAGATAGTCTGCTGATCTTTCTAATCCTGTTTTCAATTTCTGTCTTTCTGCCTTAGTGGTATGCTTCTTTTTTCAAGTCCAGAACTGAAGAAGGAAATCATTAGTAGTAGACAGGGAGTTCAAAGAAAACATGTAGTACAGTGTTTCTTCAAAGAAAATTTGTGGGTTTGGCCAATGGTCTGAACTATCTTGAGAGGCAACAGCTGTTACTGCCCCAAGGGAAAAACCATTTCCCAGCCAAATCCATGACAATTAACCACACATTGCATTGCTGTTTTTCAGGATATTGCTGTGGTATCCACCTTTGGCATGGGCAACCTTTTGCAAACCTGGAGGAGAATTTCTGGAAATAGAGGAACAACGTTCAAACCTTCCTTACTAAGAAGATCCAAGGTGTGAGAAGAAGCGGGCTAGCTGCTTTAGCCTAGCAGACATGCCTTTTGGGCTGAAATTACGAAGGACTCGACGCTATAATGTCCGGAGCAAGAACAGTTTCATGACCCGGATTCAACTGTTGGAGAACAACCTGATTGAGTGCACATTGTCTGTGGAGAGCACTGGGCAAGAATGCTTGGAGGCCGTAGGTCAGAAGCTGGAATTACCAGAGGTGAGGGTAACCCAAGAAAAGACTATATGTAACTTGCCGCTCGGTGTATTTTTAGCTCTGGCTGTTTGTCATTTGGAATCTGTTTATTACAATCATGTTGTTTTTGGAATTGGTCCGATCTTATCGCTGAATGGAACTTTGGCAAATGTACCTTGCTTGCCCAAACATCAGGGCAGTCTATTACTTACAATTTGGATTGTGATTGAATGTTATTTCCTGTCAGGATGAAACTCTTAACTAATATGCAAGGGAACATCGGGGGGGGGGGGGGGTGTCTATAAGCAAAAGGCTGTTTTTGCTTATATGTAGACAAAGTGGATAACAACCACATTCACACATGACATCAAACCACTTTTATTAATGGGGGTGGCTCGTCCTATGAAATATATGTCAGTTTTGCTGGAAGAAGTATCTTAAAAGTCCATTTTTTTTCTTCTGTTTCATTAAACAGTCCATGAGATGTAAGAGTGATTCTAGCAGTATGTTTCAAAAATCAACTAATTCTCACTTGAATTTCAACATGAATCTCAATTCAATGCTATTATAAGTCTGACTTTATTGCCACAAGAATTTAAAGCAGAATAACTGTTTCCTCTAAAGCAGTGGTTCTCAACCTGTGGATCGGGACCCCTTTGGAGGTCGAACAACCCTTTCACAGGGGTCGCCTAAGACCATCAGAAAACACATATTTTTGAAAAAATACAGAAAGCATAAAACAATTTTATGGTTGGGGGTGTCACCACAACATGAGGAACTGTATTAAAGGGTCGCGGCATTAGGAAGGTTGAGACCTACTGCTCTAAAGGGAAGAGTGNCAGTATTTGAGTTTCATCTTCAGGATTTGGCCTTCTAAAAAGCAGTCAGGGTTGATCTTCTCTAGGACTGACTGGTTTGATCACCTTGCAGTCCAAGGATGAAAAAGGCTGTAATTTAGTTCCCTACTTTCAAGTAGCATTAATGATTCAAGAGCTAAGGTGTTTGTAAAAGAAGGATTTAACAAAGATCCTGGCTTTTTTCCCTAGGAGCTTAAAGTACAATGTAATCTTGTCCCATTTTCCCCCTTACAACAACCCTGTGAGACAGATTGGGTTAAGAATGAATGGTTGGCCAAAGTAGTGAAGTGTAGCTAGGAAAATTGAGGAGATTTTGAAAGAAATGTGTCCCTTTTAATCTTTGCTAAAGGAATATTTGTATAACTTGGAGTACATCTGCAGCAAATCTAAGCAATGTGTATTCATTGTAAAACAGCCAGTGCATTTTCTCAATTTCTTTCTTGACTATTTCATGGTCTGTTGACTTGATGGTTAATTGTTCAATATGCATTACAGATTCATAATTATGATTCCCCCCCCCCCTTCAGTTTTACTGTGGAGACAGAGTCACTAGCAGCATTCTTGGAATAAATGGTCACTAAAAGAACATTTATTGTAGCAAAAGCAAGAAAAATTTAAAAAATATTTTTTATACTTCAAGCAAAAATATACTCAGAACCTTAAATAAATGGTCTTAAGGTCATATTGGTACTGCAGAACCCGTCCTCTGTCTTTCTGTTAGAACCAGAAAGTTATTTAGAGCTAAAGTACCTAACATGTAAATACTTCAATTAAAACTTTTAAATCAATTTTTTTAAAAAGTAAATCTTTTTTCTATTTCTAAGCCTAATTACAACTATTTTAAGATCTGAATTGGAATGGGATGACATTACTTAGAGTGAAGAAATATGAAAGTCCCCTCCACAATGTTTGTTAAAACTGAAAAGGTAGTAGTTATACATAAAGTTACTGTGGTGCCAAAGAGTAATTCACACAGTTTCTGACTTTTGAGTTAGAACAATAGCAATAACAATAGCATTTACACTTATGCATTGCTCCATAGTGCTTTATAGTACTCTCTGAGTGATTTACAATGTCAGATATTGCCCCCCAACAATCAGAGTCTTCATTTTACTGAATTTGGAAGTATGGAATGCTGAGTCAATCTGAGGCTCCCTCAGGATTGAACTTCAGATTATGGCCTGCAATACTGCATTCTAACCACTGCACCACCAGGACTCCTTTTAGAAAGGGTATTTGTTTTAGGGGGGAAATTGCTGGTGGAGATAATGTGTTTGAACTTCCTGAGGGTGCATATGCATGCATCATTAACTTTCACAGTTGTCAGTTCTCTAAAAGCAATATATTGTAGTCCTATTAGGGACTTTCAGCAATACTCCTTGAAACACTTTTATGATTATGATGTCATAATGTCATTCTAAGAACTGCTTCTGCCTTGCAAACTCTATAGTATTGCCCATAGATCCTCTGAGAAAGTTGTAAATTTCCTTTACAACTTTGGAAGAAAAAAATCAGAAGTCATTCTTAATATATATTTGTGTTCTCCTTTCTTTTTCTTTATACCTGTTCATACTGTACTTCGAGACCTATTCTCTTTTTGTTCTTTATCATTTCTCTTGATTATTAGTTTATATTGTTTAATGTGTATGCTGTGTAAAATGTAACTAAATTATTTGACACAAAGAAGCCAACTGCGAAGGTCACAGAACATGATCATGTCACCACAAGATGCTGCCACTATTGTAAATGAATGCCAGTTGCCAAGCACCCAAATCACGATCACATAACTATGGGGCGATGATCATAACTACAGGAGAGGTCATAGGTCACTTTTTCTTGCACCATCATAACTTTGAACTGTTGTGAACTCAACATTTATAAATCAAGGACTACCTGTAGAATCTAGAACACTATTTTCCTAGTTGTAAAATGAATGAAGGTATCTCAGATTCTGTTTAATTCATGCAGATTTTTTCAATCTGCAAATTCAATAATTTCAAATTTTTCTATTGAAAGTATCATTTGATTTACTGATTTTCTTCTAGCTGCCATTATATTTTGAAATAGGTCTTCAGTTGCTGTATATGCAATATTAGCTTACCAGAATAGTACTTATCTCAGTTTTGATGCCAATTTAACTAAGGTGACATGGCATGGCAATTTTTTGGATTGAGAACTCTTTAGAGCAAAATACAATTGTAGATGTTTTCCAGAATGGGAGGAGGGAATGGTCACAACCCGCCCTGAGTTCTGTCTGTTGGGGCCAAGGGGAGGGCCCGGGGGGTGTTTCCCGGGGTTTGTTGTGTTGTTTCTTGTTTTTCAGTTGTACCGTTCATGTTCGAGAATCTGGGCTAGCAATGGACAGGCACCGGTATTTATAGATTTCCTCTCAGCCTTGGACCAATCAGGCTGTGATAAAACCCACGTGTGACCATTCCCTCCTCCCATCAGAAAATAGACGTTCAGGTAAGACCAACGTCCTTTCTAATAAATTATTAAACTTGAAATGCATGGATATGTCTAAATATATACTTTGAAAACACTATGATTCATTTCTCATATAAAAAAACCCTGCAGAGAGAAGCTACAGAATAGCAAAAAAGTATATCATTTTCTCAGTGTGGGGGGTAGGCACTTGTTAAAAATGTGTGCACTGTATTCATTAATAGAAAAACATAGGAAATCTCTTACATATTTTGGTGCATGTGTTAAATGATCTAATTGATTAAAAAATTAAAAATGCAGAATCTTCCATTTCTAATTAACATGAAACCCCTATGTTGTACATATATTTTAATTAACCGACAAAACTAAAATAGTTTTCTTGTTTCTAACTAGTTTGTAAAAAAGTTGGCTTCTGTTTCAAAACCTGTTTTTTGTACTCAGAGCAATAGTAGATATTGCAGGAGGTAAATAGGTAAATCTTTCCAGATGAAACCTGTCTTTGGTATTTGGCATTCTTTAATGTCCTCTTCTAAAAGTGCAGGCTTGTACCTCATCAAGCAAGTTGAGCTAATTATCCCCTTATCCATGCCCAGCCCAGAATTGCATAGTTCTGATAGGTGTGCTGTAGTTCTATAATATATGGAATGCTGGAAGAATTCCAGAAGCTGTTAGTGAAATCTTCAACTATAAGAGAAGAGGCATTTAATGTAAAGCTGACTTCAATTTACCCATAAGGAAACTGATAGTAGTTATCAGAGGATACTCTTAGGCCTTGCTTGTACCTGAACAATGGAAACAGGACATTCAAAGGTCCTAATGAAAACTACAATCTTCCTGCAGGAAGAAACTGAAACTGGGAAGAGAATCATTCAGGTAAAGTTCCTTGAAAATTTGCCTCTAAGAATTCATAGCAGCATATTACTAACTAACTACCCTGTTTCCCTGGAAATAAGACCTCCCCAGATAATAAACCCAATTGGGCTTTTGAGTGCATGCTTTTCCCGAAAATATTGCAACATAGCAGCAGCCATGAGGTGACCACGCTCGCCACCTCCTGCACTTCAAAAATAAGACCTTCCCCGAAAATAAGGCCAAGTGCTTATTTTGGGGTCCAAAAGAAAATAAGACCCTGTCTTATTTTTGGGAAAACATGGTAGAAAAACAGTTTCATGGTCAACAGATAGAGCATACCATCCACATTTTGGCCAGTTCCTCACATTAGTAAAATTCAGACTAGTAAAATATTTTATAGGCTAAAAAGGCGGCAGCTATGAAGAGATCAGAGCAATCCCTTCCTCCTTGGTTTCTCTGTTGAATATGCAGGATATACAACATGCATATAAGGGATAGAATGATCTGTGCTTTGACCACCAATGTGGAATCTGCCCATCTTCTGTCAGTCCTAGCTAAGGCAGTAATGAAGAATTTTGTATGTTGTAGCTTCATTTCTGGAAAACCAAATGCTACAAACTCTGGTCAAAATAGTGCTGACAATGACTACAGTCAAAAAACCTGAGTCCAATATTAGGGAAAAACTAGAGGAATCAAGTAGCTTGCTTGGGATGGGTAGGGGAACAAAGTGCCTTCTTTTTGTTTGAGCTAGCAAAGGAGAGATGGAATATTCTGCCTCTCTTCTGGAAGCCCACTCATAAACTATCGTGAATGTTCTAGGCCAACCAAGCATATTGTTAACAAAGAGGGTTATGTAAGCCTACACAAGGA